AAGAATTCCATAGCCGCTGTTTTTAATATGTATGTTTTGATCCGAGAAGATCGTATCGTCTGGCATCTTCAATGCTGTTATTTGATTCATCTTCCGTCGTCGAATTGTACTCGCATAGAAGAATTTTGTATTTTTGTCTCCTTGTTGTACCCACTTGCTTCTTGATTTGTGGAACCACATGCTTTCCTCGTATCTAAGCACCTTGTCTAGTTCTTTCTTCAGTTGTCGGTCTAAGTCTAACAGTCTATCGGAGTGCTTCTGTCTGAGTGCACAATCTATCCCTCGTATTCGTACAAGTAGTTCCTTCTTCTTTCGAATAATGTGGTCGAAGACATTTACGTTCCATTCTTGCACCTTAGTTTGGAATGTTTTAATATTGTTCATGGCATCCCCTTCCTTATCCCAGATATCAGAGATGAATTTTCCAAACTCCGGATGGTCTTGCCATGCGGCTAGAAATCTAAACGGCCGTTCTGCTGTTGTAGGCTTCGTGTAATCAAGCTTGAGAAGAAGCGGGCGGTGATCCGACCCTACCCTATCCAAGTGTAAGACCGTTGCCATGGAAAATTGATTGGCTCCATATTGGTTGATGAAACATCAATCCAGACGCTTGCTTAGTGAGCCTCTCTTCCATGTAACGTCTGCACCATTGTACTCTACCTCTATCATACCGCTATCGTAAACAAATTCGTTGAAACGTCTGCTAATCCCAGATCCCAAGGCTATACAACCATGTCGCTCCTTGCTAATTGTATTCCCCACCCATAATCCATTTTCTATTCGGTGTGGGTTCTAGTTTAAGGAGCTGGTCCCATAACTGCTTTCGTGTTGTAGCGTTTGGACTCGCGTATACGGCTGTAGAAGTTAACCATTCTTGACTTGATATTATCTCCAATAGCCCATGTATGTATTGGTTGGAAATCTCTAAAATTTCTACCTCAACCGACTCCTTCCACGTTAACAAAATTCCGCCGCTAAATCCACGAGGTTCAACTCGGAAGGAGTTCGGAAAACCAAATCTGCTTTGTCAGCTGATGGTCCCCTGACCCTTGTCTCAAATAACACTATCTCTGGCTTCTGTAGCTTACAAAATTCAGAGAAATATCGTCGGAACTTTTGGCTAGCTGCGCCCTGACTATTCCAAAAAATGAAGTTAATCATCATTAACTTGATTAAAATCCAATCTTTATGGCCTGCTCTTATGATAGGAGCTTCAGCTACTTCCACCTCGTATAATGTCGCATGGGTTTCCATTTCTTTATGTGGCGTTTGGTTCGCTCGAATGTTTATGAGGAAATTGGAATCTGTGAAGGAATTGACTGTGAAGGAATTGAAATCTGTTAGGAATTGAAATATAATTTCATATTCTGTTTGGTTCGCAGACATATAAGATGAATTTGATTTCAGTAATGTAAAATGATAGAATTGTCCTTGTTTTTTTTACTTTATTTTAGTTTGTTTTACAACTTACATGTTGTAATATATTATAAAAAATTAAAAAATATTAAATTTTCATTTTATTGATTGATTATTCATTTCAATAAATTATAAAAATCATTTTTATTCAATAATTGAAAAAAAACTATATATAGAGAGGTATTATTGTAATTATTCCTAAATATATAAGGTAAAATTATATATTTTTTTCAGGTCAGGTCCGATTTTTTTTCACCCTGAACCCGACCCGAATATCACACTTAAAAAAACCCGACCCGAAAAAAAATAAAGTTTCACCCAACCCGATCCGAATATATGAATTAGAAATCCGACCCGACCCGACCCGAAATAATAAAAAAATATTTTTATTTAATAAAAACAGTGACTTAATTGAAAAAATTATATATAAAGAGGTATTATTGTAATTATTCGTAAATATATAAGGTAAAATTATATATATATATATTCGGGCCAGGTATTTTTCACTCTAAACCCGAACTCGACCCGACCCGACCAAAATAAAGTTTCACCCGACCCGACCTAACCCGAATATATGAATTAGAAACTCGACCCGACCCGAAATAATAAAAAAATATTTTTATTCAATATATGAATAAGTTACCAAAAGATTGATGGGGGTGATATGGACAAATTTCATTTCCCTCCAACAAGGGAATTGAATTCCATCAATTCTTGGATGGAATTCACTTTCCCTCATTTGATGAAAAGTTGAAGCCATGAGAAATTCCAATTCCCTTGGAAAACTTGAACCAAACATGGGAAAGTGGTGAAATTAGATTCCAATTCTCTCTAAGGGATTCATGCCAATGAAACACCACCTTTATTTCCAAATGAGTTTTTGTTTCTTGTTTGAAATGAACATAGAAAAAATGTTAAATTATTTTGTTTTATGTACTCTTTTTATACATTATAATAAAAATCTTATGTTAATTCAATTTTTTTTATATAAGAAGTATTAATAAACCAAACGAGTAATTTCTTTAAAATTTTGATCACATAAACATCATTTAATTTTATATTAATATAAATATATCCTTTTCCACATATATCTTAATTGTTTTTTCAGTGAAAATAAATATCTATATATCTTTTATCTTTCATTTTATTTAAATAATACTATATTTTAAAATTTTAATTAAAATAGTGTCATAAATTAATGTAGAACGTCAATTCAATTAAAAATACAATAAATTTTATTAACGGTTAGTTTAAGTGGTAATCAGCTTGATATCACTTAAGTAAGATCTCGGGTTCTAGTTTTTGTGTATGCTAAAAATTTCATTAGGGAGACTTACCCACCAAAGCCAAGTATGCGACGTGGGTTGATCCAGAGTCACGGCTAGAGATGGCAAGCGGGTACAATTTCGTGGATTCCGCACTGCACCCGCTCCAATTGGGGCGGGGATAGGTATAATTTTAGTGGGTAGTGGGCGGGTGTGGATTTAGAAAGTGATACCCGTCGAGGGTAGTGGGCGGGTAATGGGTTTGAGACCTTACCCGCCCCGCATCCACACCGCATCCACCCGCCCCGCATCCGCCCGCTCCTCATCCGCCCGCCCAACTAAATATCCATTAAATTTGGACCATTATGAATTTAGGTATAATTTTAAGAGACTAATTTATAAATCTTAATATTGTATAAGATATAACTTGTAATTTAACCAAATATTATGGATAAGTTTATGCATAATTTTTTCTTTTTTCAAACCTCTCGTTACTGCGTCGATCTTTCAAACCTATGGTCTCCACTCTCCAACTTATTCAGGTACGTTTCTTCCCTTTTTACTTGAAATTTAATTTTTGTAAGAGTAATTTACGTAGTCATTTTATTTTAAGCTCATCTGCATTTCGTTTTAAGAGTTTAATTTTTATTTGCTCGTACTGATTTTTAATTATTTTTTAGATTCATCTCAATGTTTGTTTTAAGCTTAATTTCTTAATGTTATATAAATCATTATCTTGTGACCGAGCACCCACGTTTTAGGCCAACATAGTAAGATCGTTGCTTCTCAAATCTCCATTTTTAACGCGACTGAATAGAATTAAGTGTTTCACTCGTGCTTCTCAAACCTCCATTTTTAACGCCATTGAAACTAACTTTTTCAAATTCAAATTTCAACCGAGTATTTTGCAATATTGGTGTTTTATGAAAATGATGATTGTAATATTGGAGTATCATATGTCACAAGTATTGCCTGAAATTTTAGAATGTTGTGCCAAAGAACAAAAACATTATGTGTTTGTCATTTATGTTTCTAGACTTTAATTATGTCTTTTATTATGGTGTTTTATGTACTTTAAGATCTATATTAACACATAACTCATATAATCATTGGTTTATTTTATTATGTTTATTAATATATGTGTTTATTTTTTGTTTGTCGCTTATGTATAAGTTAAGTTTGCTGTCAGGCGGGTCTAGTCGGGTATGTCTCTAGTGGGTAGTGGGTGTGGGGATGGATTTGAGAATGTACTCGAGTGGGCGGGTGTGAATTTGAAACATTTTACCCATCATGGGTGGTGAGCGGATGGTAGATTAAAAAATATTATGTGGGTATGAGGATGGGGAAGGGGTATCCACACCTGACCTGCCCATTTGTCATCCCTAGTCACGGCGAAGCCTTATAATCAAGAAGGAAACCAAAAAAATATATAGTAAATTTTTAATTTTTATAAAATATTATATAATATATTAAAAATAGTTTTAATATTATAATTCATTATATAAATTTTTAAAAAATTATTACTTGAATTTAGTTAAGTTTTGACTAAGTGAAAAGATCGAAGTTTTATTTATTTTTTATATAAATTAAAATTCTATTTGAGGAAAAGAGAAATATATAGACTTTAAACGAAGGAAAATAAAGTACTTTTAATGAGTATAACTTAAGGGAATATTTTAATGGTGAACATCTTAATGGTGAACATTGATTATTTTAAGTCTTTTAAAATTTATAATAAAAATTATTATTTTAAAATATTTTTATATTAAATAATAAAAAAATATCATGTTATACAAAAATAATAATAAAATAATCCAGATTAATTAACACAGATTAATTCAAAAAATTAATGAGAAAATTTTAAAAATTAAAAATACAATAAATGAAATAATAGATAATAAAATTGATTGAGAGATGATATAATTTACCCTTGAGTTTTATTTATTTATTTTGACAAAGCTTAAAGTTTTATCTTCAATTACCAGGTTCGATCTAATTTTAATGAAAACTATGTTAAATGGAATGGAAATGAAAGGTGTTAACCTAATTAGTAAACATATAGATTTCAAATTGGATTCCCTTTGATATTGCAGGGCGTCACAGAGGAGCTGTACTGTGAATATGAAGTGACTGGACAGGCAGTGTCTGCACGTCAAATCTATCCTCCGCGGTTGAACTGTAAATATTAAAGCAAAATAATACCTTCTCCCACTCATCCCCACTAATATTTAACCCTCTATGTACTCTGGCTAAGCTGCCATCAACTTGATAATTCAATTATTTCTGGGTTTTTCGTTTTCCTTCTGTGTGTAAGAGGATACGAGAGGAACTTACATGAGAGGACTCGAGCGTCTGAAGGAAGATTTAGAGTTCTGTTTGTTTCTGTTTTTTTTTTCCTTAAAAAAGAGCGTGTTTTTAATTTTAAAAAACAAAGTTAAAAAAGACGTGGTCTTTCTCACATACACAGATCCCTATGGAATAAAAGGAACAACCCCTCCCCCATTTCCAGGCAGCATTGCTTGCTTGAATTAATTCCTTTTGTAACAGTTTAGAGAGACCATTTTTGTTCTCTTTAGAGCGAGAAAGGCCCTTGAAATGTTGTTGCAATGAGTTTCTTTTCTGTCTAGTAGACAACAAAACATCGACGTTTCAAATGGGGAAACAGGCAACAGATTTCTGTACAATTAGTTTATTTTCGCTTCAATGATTGAGTTTGCCTTCAATCTGGGTATATAAACTGCTTAGAAAGAAAAGCAAGAGTGAGAAGAAGATGAAGACTATGAACGACGGTAGTAACAATGGCAGCAATAATAACTGGCTGGGTTTCTCTCTTTCTCCCAACATGAAAATGGAGGTACCGACTGATCCCCAACACCGTCATCATCACTACCATCAGTATAATCAAGCTTCAGCAGCTGCTGCTAATGTTGTTCCTACAAGCTTCTACTTTTCTTCTTACTTAAACGGGCCTGGAATCTTCTATGGAGTTGGAGAAAGTGAAGGCTTTCACGCCCCATTGTCTGTCATGCCGCTTAAATCAGATGGTTCTCTGTGCATCATGGAAGCTCTTAGCAGATCACAATCGGAAGGTATCTTCGTTTTCATTATTTGTATGCTTCTCTTATTTGCTTTTTCCTTATGTTAAAACTTATATATCATTTTCTGTTGAAGGGATTGTGCCTACTTCATCCCCAAAACTGGAGGACTTTCTGGGTGGTGCAACAATGGATACACATCAGTACGGAAACCACGAAAGGGAGACGATGTCTCTAAGCTTAGACAGCAGCGTTTACTACCACCAAAATGCAGACCATGAAACAAACAGGCAACATTCTCTGGACCTTCTGCAGGAGCCATTCAGGCAACAAGACCAAAACTTTCCTGTTCAAACGCATCCTTATTATTCAGGTATGGCTTTTCAAGGCACGTATCAATCATCACCGTTGGAGGAAGAGGCCAAGGAAGGCCTACTTGAAGAGTGTGATGCAATGCCTTGCTTAAAAAACTGGGCCGCTAGGCACTACTCTGCGCATACTTCACTTGAACAACAGATGGCTACTAGCATGGTTGATGATGCACCAGCTTCGGTTTCTGTTGGTTCAATCGGTTGTGGGGATTTACAATCTCTAAGCTTGTCAATGAGCTCTGGTTCTCAGTCTAGTTGCGTTACAGCTCAAAGACAGATCTCACCTACTGTCACTGAATGTGTGGGCATTGAAACAAAGAAGAGAGGGCCTGCAAAAGTGGCTCAAAAGCAACCTGTTCATAGGAAGTCAATTGACACATTTGGACAAAGAACCTCTCAGTATAGAGGTGTTACCAGGTCAGTTCATACTGTTTAACATGATTATATAATGAAATGTTTTTATGTTTTTCTCTTGCCTTTGAATATTAATAAAACTTTGTTGAAATTTGTTCCACCAGACATAGATGGACGGGTAGATATGAAGCTCATCTATGGGATAACAGTTGCAAGAAGGAAGGGCAAACCAGGAAAGGGAGGCAAGGTTTGTCTGAAAAGCAAAAGGCCAAAAATAAGAAAAGAAAACACACGCACATTTACAGTATCAATTTGGAAGTATTCCTTCTTTTGACTGCAATTCATTATCCATCTGTCTTAATGATCTGACGTGTTTATTAATTCCTTGTTGGTTCTCCTCGTTGATGCCATTTTGATCAACTCATGCATTACCAGTTTATCTTGGTAAGCTTTCTCTTAACCAGTAAGTTAATCAGCCTTGGAAATAATCATCTTGTTTTAATATTTTTTAATTAATCATGAGTTTCAGGGGGTTATGACATGGAAGAGAAAGCTGCTAGAGCTTATGATCTTGCGGCTCTCAAGTATTGGGGACCCTCCACTCATATAAATTTTCCCGTAAGTCAAAAATATTTTAGAAAATTCTTATTAAAGAAAGAATCTATGTGATTCATTCTTTTGGGTTTTGATCTCGGCAGCTTGAAAATTATAGGCAAGAACTGGAGGAAATGAAGAACATGAGCCGTCAGGAATATGTTGCTCATCTAAGAAGGTTTCCGATTGTTGCAATTTTTGTTTACTGTGTGTTGTTGAGATGCTAATGCATTCACTTGATTTGCAGAAAAAGTAGTGGATTCTCTAGAGGGGCTTCAATTTACAGAGGAGTGACAAGGTTATTATTGCTTTTCAAATGTGGATACCTTTTATTGTATTGATTCTTTCTTCCATTTTGTTTAGATTTCAAGTATTGATTCTGTCTTTTGTAATAGACATCATCAACATGGAAGATGGCAAGCTCGCATTGGAAGAGTAGCTGGAAACAAGGATCTTTATCTTGGAACATTTAGTAAGTTTTTGATTGTTTATGGATCTGTATGTAAATATATTGGCTCTTGTTTGGTGGCCTAAAAAGCTGTTTTTTTATGACATCTTTGCTCCCTATGATTATGCTTTTTATAAGGCTGAACTGATTACAGTTGCTTTAAAAATTGTACATTTCCAATTTCATTTGCAATGAGCTTTTTTTAAAGGCTGTTTTCTCTGAGGCGTGTTGATAAAGATGGAAAGTTTAATCTATTTTTTGCCTTCAATTCCCTTTGTGTAACATAAAATTGTGTATTCCAGGCACCCAAGAGGAAGCAGCTGAAGCATATGACATTGCGGCCATCAAGTTCCGTGGTGTTAATGCTGTGACAAACTTTGACATTACTAGATATGATGTCGAAAGGATCATGGCCAGCAATACTCTGCTTGCCGGAGAGCTAGCTAGGCAAAACAAAGACACTGATTCGATCAATGAGGCCAATACACCAACGCTACCCAATAGTGAGACCATTCAACCTGAGGGTAAAGAGAAGAATTCGGATTGGAAGATGTCATTGTGTCAATCGTCACAGCAACAAGCAAGTGTTTGTGGTACTGTCCAGTCACTTGAACCGAAGTCTGTGAGTTCCGGAAATTATCGAAACTCAACCTCCATGGCTCTCCAGGATCTCATTGGCGTTGATTTTGGGAACTCTACACAGCTAATGGTGGACGAGTCATCCAAGCCAGGAACTGACTATTCCAACCCATCATCGTTGGTAACCAGTGTTACCAACTCGAGAGACGCCAACCATGCTAAAACAGGCTCTACGATGGTCTTTGCCAAGCCACCCACCGCATCGAAGTTCATTAGTCCGACAAAAAATGGTGTTAATTGGTTCCCATCATCAACAGCAGCCCAACTGAGGCCTGCTGCTGCCATTTCAATTGCTCACCTGCCCCTTTTTGCTGCCTGGAACGATACCTAGAACCCCATTTTTCTCCTGTTACTGAAAATATGGAAGTTTTGCATGAAGAAACCGGTGAGATAGTTTTGGGGGGGGGGGGGGAGGCAAAGTTTTGATTATGTCTACTAAAAGTGCAGTTAACGGGAAGGGAATTTGGGATCCATGAAAAAGTGTAGGAGACTTTTACTTCCGTATTTCTGAATTTGTAATCTTTTGTGGCTCATATTAGAATGAAGAATTTACAAAATGGAGGGAATAACATAGGGGGCCTAGTGATGCTATCCACTATAACAAATGAATCTACTTCCCCCCCACCCCCTAGTTGCTGCCAAGTGCAAAACCAGCTCATGTTTTCTCAATAATGAAATCTTGCTCTAACAAACTTGTAATATATCTACCATTCTAGCTATTTCAACGACCTAATAACGATCTACTGTTCAATTATTTAAAATTCATATTGCTTTCCAACTTCTTGATTTCTTGAAATTGAACCCCCAAAAAAAAACTGCAAGAACCGATAAGAGCTGGTACTAACCGAACAAAATATACATCTTAATTTACGTTCTTTTTCTTTGACCTTCTTCAAATTCGTCTTCCATTTTTTTTTTAAATTGTGCATTTTCACCTTTTGAAAATTGTTAACGGCTTTTGACATGCTAGCCCAATCGGCATCGGCAAACGTGGTCATACAACAAGGCTCATAGTAGACGATGCTTGACATTACAACCCACAATCAATACTGCCAACAAGATACCACAGGATTCGTTTGACAGAAACCCAATGTCCTTCACACGATCAATGCATATATTACGCTACACGATTGACTCTAGCGCTGTGTCCGGTATGGTGTCTTAAATATAACAAACCCCCAACGATACTTCAATATGTTGAAGCATCACCAAGCAACTTTCCTGCATATCGAGTGAGTTTAGGTGACACGACCATGGGTTGGTACCGGTTTAGCCCCTGTTGAAAGAGTGTTGAAAGCTATCTTAGTTGAAGTGTGTGCTCGTGTAACGTCATGCATGCTCATGCAGCTTCATGCATGTCCATGCCTAAGGAAATTCTAGAAGATAGTCTAGAAGCTATGTTGTTATAAGTTTGTTAGTCTAGCAGGCTCTTAACAGTTTAACAGCTTAACAACTAGTTGGTTAGGTAGTTTTCTTGAATTGCTAAAGCTTTGTAAGTAAGTTGTATAAATACAGTAGTGTATACTGTGTTGATATATGGTTTTCTTGAGACAATGAAGTAAAAAGTTATTTTCTTTCATTTCTTCTTGAACTTCTTTGCAATATTCAACATGGTATCATTCGCTTTTGGTTATGGACTGCTAGCAGCAATGGTACTCTTTGGTGATTCGTCCTCCTCGCAAGCCCGGATGTTTACCAACAAACGTGTAAATGTGGTGCTTGATGAGATGAACTTCTTTTTTTATGAAAGCAACAAGTTCTACTTACAGTTCGCAGTCACCGTCTTGAACGGTTCCTTACCAGCTCCACCGGAGACGGTTGTTGATGAGCATGGTGAAACTATTGCTAATGAATCCTATGAAGATTTTGTAGCTCAAGATAGTGCTCTTGCGTCCTGGCTCCTATCCACAATCAGTGGTCCATTATTGCCATAGTTTGTTGGTGCCGAGTCAGCCGCTGCTGTTTAGAACACAGTTTTAGAGTTCTTTGCAAACCGATCCACCACCACGGTTATGAATTTGCATTACAAACGTCAGTCTATGAAGAAAGGACAAATCCTATCTTAACCATATACACCCTACTACATATATCGAAATATATTCAATAACAGTCTTTATAGTGCAACCAGTTGCGGAGCATGTTTAACTGTATCAAAACATACAACAATATATGTTGGGATGACATTGATCTCAAGTCTGAGGATCATACATATAGTCATCACCATGAGCATTGTTATGACCGTTACATAATAATCCAAGCATATGCTCATGATGGGTCAATCCAATACATTGTTCTCTAACAATATAATCATGTATCAATTTTGTCATCTCTATGTCAATGACAACTCCTTGTCATCAATAAATACCATGTTAGTCTTAAGCATACTATTATTGTTCATGCCCATAATAATACTTGACTATGGATATTTTAATAATGTTATTATATGGACTTTATTATATTTCAGTTTATGTTAAAAACAGACACATAACTGAAAATAATAGTGGCAATGCCTTTATTCAATAAAATCAGTAAATAAATATATTATTACAATCATCATATGATTGGTCTTTGGGCATACTCTAACATACTCTATGTGTGTCACACAAGGCCTGATATTTCCTTTAGTGTGAACAAGGTGGCTCAGTATATGCATGCCCCAAGAGAGCAACATCTACTTGCTGCTAAACGTATTCTACGTTATCTAGCTGGGAAATTGAACTATGGTCTGGGGTTCATGCCAGGAAAATTACATTTATCAGCCTTCTCGGATGCTGATTGGGGTGGATGTGCTGATTATAGATGATCAATGTCTGGTCATTGTGTCTTTGTTGGAGAAAGTCTGGTGTCATGGAATGCAAGAAAACAAAAGGTGGTGTCACGATCAACCATGAAAGCTGAATATAGAAGTCTCGCAGATGCAACAACAGAAGTAGCGTGGGTTGATACTTTGCTCACTGATTTGAAGGTGCCACAGTATAAACAACCAACAATATGGTGCGACAACACCAGTGCAATCAAATTGAGCGTAAATCCAGTGTACCAATCTCAGTCCAAGCATGTGGACTTAGACGTGCATTTCGTTCGGGAAAAAAATGCTGCAAATCAACTATGTGTGAGTTATGCTCCAGCAGCTCATCAAGTTGCTGATGGCCTAACTAAACCCTTGGCAAAAACAAAATTTGCTAGTTTTCGTGATAAACTAAATGTGTGTTTGTTTGTTGAAGAAGGGAAGAAGCAGGGACAATGTTGAAAGAGTGCTGAAAGCTATCTTAGTTGAAGCGTGTGCTCGCGTGTGCTCATGCAACGTCATGCATGCTCTTAACTGTCAAGCAACATAACAACTAGTTGGTTAGCTAGTTTTCTTGAATTGCTAAAGCTTTGTAAGTAAGTTGTATAAATATAGTAGTGTATACTGTGATGATATATGATTTTCTTGATACAATGAAGTAAAGAGTTCTTTTATTTTATTTCTTCTTAAACTTCTCTGCAATATTCAATAACCCCACTCATACGAATTTTCTCAAGAAGCTAGCGAACAAATTTTCTTAGACCATTTGCTCAAAAGTTCGATGGAATTCAATGTCGATGAAATAACTCAGGTCCCTAAATCTTTTAGGGAACCATTTCAGCTTAATAGCCGAAAATTTCTTTAATGGATGCATGAGAATCATGTGTAACTATAATATCATCAACATACAGAAGTGCATACATGAGGGTTCGATTTATTTTCTGAAAAAATGATGCATCTCCAGCGATCCCTTGAAAACCCAAATCAAGGAGTAATTGACGTAACTTTGAATACCACATCCTTGGAGCTTGACGAAGACCATATATTGCCTTCCTCAGCTTACAAACTAAAGGAGAGCCATCACGAGCCATTTGCTCAAAACCTGGGGGCTGAGCCATGAATATTTCCTCACTGAGGTCACCGTTAAGGAAGGTGTTGTTTTTGTCAACTTTCCTCAACCTCCAGCCCTTGCACACTACCAGTGAGAAAATGACATTCACCATAATGGACTACACGACTGGACTGAACGTATCATTGAAATCATATCCATGGGTACGAGAGGATCTTTTAGCAACGAGACGAACCTTGTATCTAGCATGTGCCATCAACATGATATTTAATTTTAAATAGCCATTTACAGTCGACTACAGACCATCCAGTAGGTAATTGTTTAAGAGTCCAAGTGCCATTTTGAATAAGAGCTTTATACTTTGCGAGGACTGCCTCCTTTCATTGAGGATGCCTGAGAGCTTGATGTTGGAAACAAAGCAATGAAAGAAGTAAATATGACAACAAATATGACTATGGGAAGAAAATCATACAAATTATTCAAGAGAAATATGTTTATTTATAGCCTTACAAAGTATTGATTAAAAGAAAAAACTCAACTAATCAAAGATATTATCAACACTAAATCATAACTTATTTTGACTAACAAATTAAGGAGTAAATTACGCTACCTACTAAAGACCAAATCAAAGTTGTTATGAATCAACAAAATTTAACACTCCCCCTTGATTCATAGCTGCACACGCCAAGTTGAGTTATAAACTTAACATGTTTTTCATAAGGAATGGACTTTGTGAATATATATGCTATTTGATCATGAGTGCTACAAAAAATCTAACGTGATTAAGCCACATGCAACTAAATCTCTGATGAAATGAAATTGGATGTCAATATGCTTTGTTCTCCCATGCATTGTTGGATTCTTTGTGATTGCAATAGTTGACCTGTTATCACAAAATATTTTAGTTGCCTCCTTTTGTTCTTGATTCATTGGAGTAATTGATATCTTACAATTCTACATGTTAAATCTTTTAAGAAGATCCTCTGCATATTTATTTTGATAGATAAACACACAATCTTCTCCTTGCTTAATTTCTAACCCAATAAAATAATGAAGCAAGCCTAAATATGTCATCTCAAATGTTTTTATAATGCTTAATTTGAATTCATCAATAAAAGAGTGGATGAGCCTTGTAAATTATGTCATCAACGTAAAGACAAACAAGTAGTAACTCATTAAATATTTTCTTTAAATACAATGTAGGCTCGTTATCACTTCTTTTACATCTATATTGCTGAAAAAACGAATCAATCTTACTATACCATACCCGGGGAACATGTTTTAGGCCATACAAAGCATTTCTCAATATGTATACTTTATCTTCTTTCCCTTGGATAATAAATCCTTCTGGTTTCATAACATACACCTCCTCAATCAAGTCGCCATTTAAAAATATCATTTTAACATCGAACTGATACACCGTCCATTATATTTGTACATCCAAGACTAAAAAAGTTCTCACTATTTCAAAATGAGTAGTAGGAGAAATTGTATCATCAAAATCAATATCTTGCTGTGTAGCATAACGTTTCGCCACCAATCGAGCTTTATGCTTCTGAGCACTCCCATCTGAATTGTATATCCATTTCAACCCATTGGTATTTTTACCTTCAGGCAAGTCTATAAGCATCTATGTTTCATTTTTCTCAATTGCCATGTTTTCTTCCTTCATTGCTCTGCACCAATCCTCTTTTTCTACATCCTGCATAAAAATGAGTGGATATGAGACTACCAAAGCAAAATTGTAAGTCTCATAAATCTCTTTTAATGTATGTATTTTTTTGGAGGTGTTTCATCAGAAGATTGACTAGTGGACGATGGTGAGTTTGTAAGACTAGTGTTTGATGTGTTTAGTGGACATATTGGTGGACTGTTTGCTAAGCTATTTATTTGGCTAGTATATTTTGTGATAGAGTTTGTATTATCTTTTGTTGGAAATTGAATTTTTGAGTTTTCATTCTCTCTTTCCCAGTTCCAACTTGCACTTTCATCAAAGATCACATTCCTGCTGATTATCACTTTACCACTAAGAGGATTATATAATCGATATGCTTTGGATTGAGAACAATATCCAATGAAGATACATTTTCAGACTTTTCATCAAGTTTTTTACGGTTTTGAGAACTTACCAAAACATAGGCAAGACAACAAAAAATCCTCAAGTGATTTACTGATGATTTTGTACCCCTCCAAGATTCATGCGGTGTACAATTGAGAACAACCTTGGTGGGTGGTATATTCAGCAAGTACACAGCAGTTCCTATTGCTTCATCCCAGAAATCATTTGGCAATTTTTTAGCCTTTAACAAACTTCTTGCCATCTCAACATCAATACTATTTTTTTCGCTCCGCTAATCCATTTTGCTTAAGAGTATTATTGGGGAAAACGGGTTATTTCCCACACGAACGTAGTTTTAAAATTGACCTAAAATGTCAAGATTAAAACCACCAAAGGTTGCACAGCGGATAAACCTGTCAAACTATTGAATATTGAAACACAATGGAAAAGAACCGAATAAAAACAATAAAGTAAAGAACACACCAAATTTACGAGGTTCGATGAGAATATCGTCTACTCCTCGGGCACCACACCGGATGATAACTTCACTATATCGCCAATATTACAACAAATGAAATTCTTTAGAATTCCCAAAATGGGAGAATGAACAATACAAGAGGAAGAGATAACTTGTTTTTGGGATGATTTCTAATGGAAATACTTAGGCCTATTTATAGTTGAGTTTTAAGAATAATATGTTCAAAGTTTGGCCACCTAACAAAGAATTTTCCAATGCGTACAAGTTAGCCACCAAATATGAAATTCACATGTTCAAAGTTTGGCCACCAACCAAGATGAAATTTCCAATAAGTTGGCCACCAACAAAGATGAAATTTTCAACTTGTCAACTTAATTTCTAGACAAATCTAACAAATCTCCACCTTGGCTTGAAATTACCAAGCCTGCTCAACTTCTTCAACTCCCCAAATTTGTAGTGCCTCTAATTGCGCTCATAAGCGCCACACACCCGAAGGTGCTCATACTTTCAGGATGTTAATCAAGTTCAAACAATGATTGGACTTGATTACTGTTACCACCTTGGTCATCATATCTGCAGGATTTTCTGATGTCGCAATTTTCTGAAGTAGAATATTTACTTCTTCAAAGATCTCCCGCACAAAGTGATACCTCACGTCGATATGCTTAGTCCTTGAATGGTAGACTTGATTTTTCTCTAAGTGAATAGCGCTCTGACTGTCACAATAGAGACTAATGTGACTTTGAACAACTCCCAAGTCTTCCATCAACCCGTTAAGCCAAATTGCTTCCTTTACAGCCTCTGAAACTGCCATGTATTCTGTCTCTGTAGTAGACAAGGCCACCGTAGATTGTAATGTAGACTTCTAACTTACTGGGGCTTTAGCAAGAGTAAACAAATACCCAGTAGTTGATCGATGCTTATCCAAATCACCAGCATAATCGGAATCAGCATATCTAACCACACATTGACAAAGTGCTTCATCCTGTTCAAAAACTAAACCAACATCCACGGTTTGTTGGAGATACCGTAGAATCCATTTCACAGCTTGCCAATGTCCTTCTCCAGGATCATGCATGTACCTGCTCACAACTCCAACTGCTTGTGAAATGTCAGGATGCGTACACACCATTGCATACATCAAGCTCCCAACTGCATTAGCATATGGAACTTTTGCCATATACACTCGTTCTTCATTAGTTTTAGGAGATAATTGAGAACTAAGTTTCAAATGAGAATCCAATGGGATACTTACATGTTTGGTATTTTCATTCATGCCAAAACATTGTAATACCTTTCTCAGATACTGCTTCTGTGTTAAACAAAGCTCCCCTCTCTATCTATCTCTGCTTATCTCCATACCAAGAATCTTCTTGGCCTCACCTAGATCTTTCATCTCCAACTCTTGA